CAGATTAGTAAAGTGCATAGACGACAATTCGTAGATACATGACAAAGATCACCAGCAGAAGCATGAAAGGCACTTGAGATCCTTTGGTATTAAATACATGAATGATTGGTATAAGCAAGGGGAGATATTAGAGTAGATGCCCTAGAGCCATAAATTATTGTGGAATTGACTCTTTGTAATAATGTTCATTAATCAATAAAAGACATTATTCTATATCGCGTAAATCAATTATTATTGCAATATGTATTAAATATGTCCTTAGAATGGTAGAACCGTGATGAGGGTAAGTATTTCAAATCTTGATAGTGAGAACCCTATGAGCACATATGGTGGCCATTCTAGAAACGTTCGTAGCCCCAGTGTTATTCTGAAGTAAGGGCACATATAATACGTAAGGCTATCATGTGTTGAACGACCCTATCGAAAGGCAGTGACTGATCTCACTTGTCAAGGTTGTTTAGTGACAACCTGGTGCAACACATGGATACTTACTGTAAGCGAATACACAGCAGCAAGTTCACTGGACAGACCCACCAAAGGATTCCATATGGATGGTACCCCCGTGTCTATGGAACAATCCTCTAACGAATGGTGGTGGTGATTTAGACTTGAGATCACCAAAGCGCCTTGTGCACCGATTGGTGCAGTTTGACACTGGCCTAAACAGTTCTATTAGAGCTGTCAATATGGTGGTGATTGGCTGCATCAAGGAGTGTATCAAGACTATGGTGGATTGAGAAAGGATTCATCACTCTTGGGTATAAGAGAAGTTATTCACAGCCGCAATTCATGGTATAGTGGCAATGACACTAAAACTGTGGCCACAGTGGGATTGAGTTGTTGCTCTATCCAGTTTATAATACGGGTCATTGGTCCAGAAACTGAATAAATAATATCGAGAGTAACCGAAGGTTGACACTATTTCTATGCCTTCGTCTCGTCGAGATAACGTATGATGAAAGGATCGAATTGTACGGTAACCATATCGTTGACAGGTAGCTACTTTGCTGAATCCGAATCTATCGGGTGGCCATGATGCCTTGCTAGGGGCCAATCTTGGTCTGTGTATTAGTGAGACGATTAATTGGTGTTAATCGCGATACTATACACTGTCGGTGTGATGAGAAGTCTATGGGTCACACACATAGAAGATAATTTAAGACTCAGGAAGAAAGAAGGGTGTTTTCGTATTTTTAGGCAAAAGGGTATTTTGGTAATATTACAGTGCAATTAAATTTGCTAAGGTCGTAGCCTTTATTTAATTTATTCGAAAAATTAATTAAGTGAAATTACGTTTAAATATGTGTTCGCATATATTTAATTAAATCATCATTATTATTAAATGTTAATATATAGATTAAATATATATTAATTGATTTTAATTGAAATAATGATGAAATAAAAATAAATATCTAATTGGGAGTGTTTGGCAACATGGGGTGTTTGGGTTGGAGCCCAAGCCTATTCCATATGGGAATAGGGCATTAAGATAACACTATAAAAGAAAATGTTTCTTTGTAAAATGCGAGAGATTATTCATTAGTTCATTTTTCTTTGAAAAGGCATATTTTAGTTGCCCTATTCCCTTATGGAATAGGTTTGGGCTCCAACCCAAACACCCCATGTTTCCAAACACTCCCAATTAGATATTTATTTTAATTCATCTTTATCTTCAAATAAAATCAATTAATATATATTTAATATATATATTAACATTTAACAATAATGATAATTTATTTAAATATATGCGAACACATATTTAAACGTAATTTCACTTATTTAATTTTTCTAATAAATTAAATAAAGGCTACGACCTTAGCAAATTTAATTGCACTGTGAAATTACCAAAATACCCTTTCGTCCAAAAAGACGAAAATGCCCTTCTTTCTTCTTGGGTCTTAAATTATCTTTTATGTGTGTGACCCATAGGCTCCTCATCATACCGGTTGTGTATAGTATCGCGATTAACACCAATTAATCGTTTCACTAATACACAGACCAAGATTGGCCCCTAAGCAAGGCATCATGGCCACCCGATAGATTCAGATTCAGCAAAGTAGCTACCTGTCAACGATATAGTTAAAATAAAATTTGATCATTTCATCATACATTATCTTGATGAGACGAAGGCATAGAAATAGTGTCAACCTTTGGTTACTCTCGGATTCAGCAAAGTAGCTACCTGTCAACGATATGGCTACGGACGTTTCTAGAATGTCCACCATATGTGCTCATAGGGTTCTCTCTATCAAGATTTGAAACACTTGATACTCTCGTCATGGTTCTACCATTCTAAAGACATATATCAATACATACAATGATGATTTACGCGATATAGTATAAAATGCATTTTATTGATCAATGAACATTATTACAAAGAGTCAATTCTACAATAATTGATTGGCTCTAGGGCATCTACTCTAACAGATACATGGCAACGAAAAACAAAAATAATTGATCATCGATTACTTTAATTCCCATGACCATGTTCATGTTGAAATCAATGTAAAAATCCATACAAGGATTCAAAAGAACAATACCTACGTTTGGAGGCTCCATCAGGGTTTTGATTTTGCTATCGATTTGAGAATGGAATCACACAAACATTGATCCACAGGAAGATAATTCGAAGAACCAAAACGATGATTTGCTAGATCCACTTGATGGCTTCAAGAATCAAAGAAAAGAATTTTTCTCTCCACCTAGAATGATGAAATCATGTAGGGGTGTATAAGGGTGGCTACGGTTTTCAATTACTTGAATTATGTTATAATATTTTAATTTAAGTTGCACTTATATAGTGCAACTAATTAAAACCCTATTCCACTTAGGAATAGCAATGAGTTCCAACTCTAATCCACCCTTGTAGCCAAACAAGCTAAATTGGTATTTTAATTATTAATTATTATTATTATTAAAAACCATAAATATTAATATATTAACATTAATAATAATAATAATCCATTTAAATATATGCGCACACATATTTAAATATAATCTCACCAATTTGAATTTCAATATTAAAATTGAATAGGCAACAACCTCAACAAATTTAATTACACTATGAGATTACCAAAATACTCTTTCATCTTAAAAGACAAAAATACCCCTTTCACATATTGATTCTTAAATTATCTTCTAAGCGTGTGACCCGTAGGCTCCTTATCATATCGGTAGTGAGTAGTCACACAACTGACACTAATCAATCTCTCACTACACACAGACCAAGATTAGCCTCTAGTAAGGCATCATGGCCACCCGATAGATTCGGATTCAATGAAATAGCTACCTATCAACAATATGGTTATCATGCTATCAAATCTCTTCGTCATCCATTATCTCATCAAGGTTGAGGTATAGAAGTAGTGTCAACCTCAGATACCCTTGATCCCTTTGTATTCGGTTATTGGGCCAATGACTGATAAGCATTCATAATATCTATATATTTGTTATATTTCCTCATGTTTTAATGGTTATAAATGCTTAAATCTTGGGTTTTGATTCTGTTTCGTATTTTGTGGAGTAGATTGAGGAGTTAAATCAAATTGAATTTAAAATCAAATGTTTTGGAGAGAAAAAATCGGAGCTCAAAAAGAGATACATTCCAGAAGCGGATTTTGCTTAAAGCGTGGGCACGCCCTGTTTTCCTAGAATGTTCATAAAAGCAGTCAACAGATAAAGCATGGGCGCGCCTTATTGGATCCGAGATTTTTGACTTAGGGTTACGAATTTATTGGAGAAAAAGATATGTATGACAGCTGGAAAGATTTATTTACCCTTTCTTAATCTCTAGGATTTGCCAAGACTCCCTATTTTGGTGAGATTTGCTTTTAATTAGTTTCCTGATCTAGATAGGATAACTATGATTAGATGGAGTTATAAATAGGGAGATTATTCACAAGAAAGGGGACATCTATCTCTACCTCTCTCTCTTCTCTTTTCTTTAGGCGTTCTTTTAAATTATGTGTAGCTAAATACTTTTCTTCCAACTGAAGGATAATTGAAGTTTTGGTTCTTCAAGGATTGTGAGATCTAAATAATTTTCAGTGTTCTTTTATTTCTTTACTATTTATATATCTTCTATGTTTATTAACAATTATTGTCTTGATTGATTGATGCAAAGGGCCCGTTGTTCAATTATCAGGTTGATAAATTGCCATTTAGAACTTTAAATCCGTAATTGTTTAAGTGTTCTAATATTAGTGGTAAAATAACATAGTTGATTATAAAGGGATTTTCGATTTATGTTATGAAGATGTATAATCTAGTCTAAATGAATCGAGCTTGTGTATTTGTTGGCTAGAATTGGTAGTCTCTCTAATTATTAATGCTGTCGATAGATTAAATCCTAAGAGCTTGTTTAGGGTTGTTTATTGACAAGGGAAGTAATCAAAGAGCTTGTTTTGGTTATCGAGAAAGTAAGGAGAGATAGGTTGTTAGAGCTTGTTAATAACCATAACCAATTTAGTGAAGAATAGAAGATTTTATCCTTGTATCTGTGATCAATTCTCTGAACCAATTTTGAAATTATACCTTTGGTTGGATATTTGCCTGATATTGATTCCTCCTTAATTTTTAGTTGATTATAATTGCTTTCTTTTATTTCACTTCGAAATTTCAAAACCCCCATTTTTCTTTGCTTTAATTTTCATTAAAATAAATCTACCCAGTCTCTGTGGATACGACCTTGCTCATCACTATTACAATTTGTATTTATTTGAGAGTGAGAATTTTATTATTTGTTGGATTCGACACCAACCAAATTTTTTGCGCCGTTGCCAGGGATTGGTTTTAATTAGATTTATTTTGATGCTTCGTTCTTCTCATGCAGGTGAACTCCAATACGATCCTGAGATTGAAAGACGGCTCGGGAGTTAAGGAAGGAAGCTAAATTGCGTGACAAACAAGCATTTTCATCCTCATCCCCCATATTTAATTTAGTACCTGACTTGGTTGATTCATCTAGTGATTCTTCTAGTAACTCTAAAATAGAAGAAACAATGGATGAACAAGAGAGAACTTTAAGGGAATTGGCTGCACCAAATGTAAATCAACAGCCACTCTGCATTACATATCCAGCTTTGGAAGTAGGTTTTGAGTTAAAATCTGGATTGATCAATTTGCTCCCAACTTTTCATGGTCTTGAGAATGAAGATCCTCATAAGCATCTGAAGGAATTCCACGTGGTGTGTTCAAGCATGAAACCACAAGGAGTGACCGAAGAACAAATCAAATTACGTGCTTTTCCATTCTCGCTGATTGAAAAAGCAAAGGATTGGTTATTTTATTTGCCCCCTGGCTCTATAACCACGTGGACGGAGATGGTGAGATTGTTTCTTGATAAATTTTTCCCTACCTCACGAGCTGCTTGCATTAGAAGGGAGATATGTGGAATAAAACAGAAAGATATAGAGACCCTTCATGAGTATTGGGAAAGATTTAAGCAACTTTGTGCAAGCTGTCCACAACATGGAATTTCTAAACAGCTCCTCATTCAATATTTGTACGAAGGGCTCCTACCCATGGAAAGGAAGATGATGGATGCAGTGAGTGGAGGTGCCATAGTGAACAAAACTCCTCGTGACGCTAGAGATTTAATCTCCATCATGGCCGCTAACTCACAACAATTTGGATTCAGGCAGGATACATGATGAGAATGCAAAATGTCGCATTTACCCCCCTTAATGTCTAGTATTTTATACTTATTTGTTGCCTAAAATGTACTGATTATTATTCTATTTTGATTTAGGAAGCAAATGGGAGCATTAATTGCAAAATGGAACTAATTAAGTGAATTCGGACAGTTTCAACACTGCTTCGTAATCTGGGCATAACTCTCTCATCCGAGCTCCGATTGAGATGATTCAAAATGCTGTGAAACTATAAGAAAGAGATATACAACGTTCATGTTTTGAGTTTTGAGAGATACTCGCTGCATCAAGGTGGTAATCTGGCTTGAAGTTGACGCATCTGCACTGCCGACGTTCTGGAACATTTTGCCTTGTCATGCAAATCAATTGGGCAGTTTATTATTGGAAGATTTGAAGACCAGTGGCACACAAGTTACAGCTGGACAACCACTTTCCTATTTTATTAGGACTTTTATTTATTTTATTTCCAATTAGAATAAATTAGGATTAATGTTATTTTAGGATAGAGAATATTCTTTTAGGAGATTGAGTGGATTCGAATTCAAAATTGGATTTTAAAAGGGAGATCAGATTAGGTTCAAGGACCACGCCCTCTCTCTTCTCTCTGTGGAATTTTCTTTCTCTTGAGTTTTTGTGATGGCCATGAGCGGCTATTTGTAACTTGGTCGAAGGAAACGGGAACCCGGAATCAATAAACTGTGAGATCTTCTGTTTTTAGTGTGAAATTCATGTTGAGTATCGAATGTATTCTGTGCATATTTTATGATTGATGCATTTAATTACTAGGAGGCCTCTAGTGTATTATTTGTTGAAATCTACTGCTAAGTTGATATCAAATCGTAATTGTTTGATCCCTCCAACTTGTGAAGCAATTAGGGTTAGTAATTGCTGCGTCAGGAATTGTAACCTCACGAAGAACATTCAACTAAATTAAATACAACCGCTTGTGTTTGTGTTGTTTAGCTTATCGATCTCTCTAATTCTAAGGCTGCCACTAGATTAAATCTTGAGCGCTTGTCTAGGGTTGTTTAGGGGTAAGATTAATTAGGATCGCTTGTTTCCTGATTATTACCAAAGGAGAGATAGGAAATTAGTTCCAACAGTGAATATCAATGTGTGAATTGATTATCTTTGCATCAATGATCAGTTGTAAGATTCGTGTGGATGTTAAAGAGTACCAAGGTCGTCCACATTTGATTGAATTTGAATTAAATTGCTTCTGTTTTTGCTGAGATTGTTTTCTGTTTTTACACATACCCCCCAGCCTTTTTCACATCAAAGAAAATTCGGCGAGACACTATTCGTGGGATCGACCCTTGCTTACCCTATTTACAGTTCAGTAGTTAGGTTCAGAAGGTTTTAATTCTAGGTGCCTATGACAGCACGCCAATACATCTTCAATAAGGGTGAATGAGGTAAATATATCTTCCCTTGGAAATCAAATATCCAATCTAACTTCTATTGTTCAGCAGTTAGCTATAGGAAATATGCAACAAGTGAAAGCTTGCGGGATTTGTGCTACCATCGGTCATCCAACTGACATGTGCCCTACACTTCGAGATGATTCTCATGAGCAAGCCAATGCAGCTGGAGGATTTCCAGGCCCACCACAAAGGAAATATGATCCCTATTCAAATACCTACAACCCAGGATGGAGGGATCATCCCAATTTCAGCTATGGAGCAAGACCACCATTCCAACACTTTCAACCTAGACCACCTACTCCACCACCACAACAAACCTCCACAAGTTCATGTATGTCTCTAGAAGAAATTGTTAAATCATTCGCAACTAACACACATCAATTTCAACAGGAGACAAGAACAAGCATTCAACAATTGGAGAATCAAATGAGTCAACTGACATCTTCTATGAGCAGATTGGAATCTCAAGGTAAATTGCCCTCACAAATTGTTGTTAACCCAAAACAAAATGCTAGTGCAGTTACCTTGAGAAGCAGGAAGGAGTTGAAGGAACCCAGTAAGGCAGCATGTGGAGAAGAAATTGAAAAAGAAGTAGTTGCTTTTCAACCTCAAACTGACCAGCCTAGAGGACTTGATAGTGAACAACCAAAGGCATTGGTGACAAATCCTCCCTTTCCTACTAGATTGACTAAATCCAAGAAAGAAGAGGAAGAGAAGGAAATTCTTGAAACTTTTCGCAAGGTTGAGGTAAATATTCCCTTAATTGATGCAATTAAACAAGTGCCTCGATATGCTAAATTTCTCAAGGAGTTGTGCACCAACAAGAAAAAGTTGAAAGGTAATGAAAAGATAAGTATGGGGGAAAATGTTTCAGCCATCCTCCAGAAAAAATTACCTCCAAAATGTAAGGACCCAGGTATGTTTACTATCGCTTGCAAAATAGGTGATGTTAAGATTGAGAAAGCAATGCTAGATCTAGGAGCTTCAATAAATGTCATGCCTCTCTCTATTTATTCATCTTTGAATATTGGTCCATTAAAAGAAAGAGGTGTGATTATTCAACTTGCTGATAGATCTAATGTATATCCTAAAGGAGTCGTGGAGGATGTCTTAGTACAAGTTAATGGGTTGGTCTTTCCTGCTGATTTTTATGTTCTTGACATGGAAGAAGATGACTCTTCTAATTCAACACTAATGTTATTAGGAAGGCCATTCTAAAAACATCTAGGACAAAAATTGATGTGTATGATGGTACACTCACCATGGAATTTGATGGTGAAATTATTAAATTCAATATTTATGACGCCATGAGGTANGTTGGATATTTGCCTGATATTGATTCCTCCTTAATTTTTAGTTGATTATAATTGCTTTCTTTTATTTCACTTCGAAATTTCAAAACCCCCATTTTTCTTTGCTTTAATTTTCATTAAAATAAATCTACCCAGTCTCTGTGGATACGACCTTGCTCATCACTATTACAATTTGTATTTATTTGAGAGTGAGAATTTTATTATTTGTTGGATTCGATGCCCACCAATGACCAAAATAGATTGGATTGAGCAACAACTCAATCCCATAGTGGCCATCGGTTCAGTGTCGTTGCCATTTACTAAATTGATCATTGAGATAATTCTCTTGTATTCAAGAGTGATGAATCCTTTGTCAATCCACCATAGTCTTGACACTTCTCGATGTAGCCAATCACTACCGTTCTAATAGCTCTGAATAGAACTACATTGGGCTAGTGTCAAACTACACCAATTGGTGCACAAAGCGCTCTAGTGATCTCAAGCCTAAGGATCGCATGCACCACCATCATTAAAGGATTTATTTCACAGATACTAGGGTTACCATCTATATGGAATCCTCTGGTGGGTATGTCCGGTGAACTCGCCTATGGCAAGCACCCATGTGTTGCACTAGGTTGTCGACAAACAACCTTGACAAGTGAGATCAGCCACTGTCTTACGACGTGGTCGTTCAATACTATGATAGTCTTACTGTAATATTTGTGTCCTTGGTTAGAATAATACTAGGGCTACGAACATTTCTAGAATGGCCACCATATGTGATCATAGAGTTCTCAGTATCAAGATTTGAAGCACTAGATACCCTCATCATGTTCTACCATCCTAAAGACATATATCAATATATATAGTTATGAATTACATGATATATAAGAAAATGCCTTTAATTGATAAATAAATATTCTTACAAAGAGTCAATATTACAATAATTGATTGGCTCTAGGGCACCTACTCTAACAATCTCCCACTTGCACTATAGCAAATCATTCATGCATTTAATACCAAATGACCTTAAGTGCTTTTCATGCTTCTACTGCGATAGAGGCTTCGTTACTAGATTGGCGAGATTGTCATCAGTATGTATTTTCCTCATCTGCACAACTTTCCTCTCAACCATTTTTTATGATGAGATGAAATCATTTGAGTATATATCTAGACTTCTAGTGAGACCGTGGTTCCTTTGCTTGAGCTATTGCTCCATTGTTGTTGCAATAAACATCTATTGGATCAACAATCATGGAGACCACACCAAGTTTGATGACAAACTTCTTAATCCAAATTGCCTCCTTAGCCGCATCTAATAATGCGATATACTCAGCTCCATTGTAGAGTCTGCTACAGTGCTTTGCTTGGAGCTTTTCTAGCTCACTACAGCTCCATTAAGACAAAATACAAACCTAGATGCGAGCGATAATCATCTTTATCTGTTTGGAAACTAGCATCACTGTATCCTCTTACAGTGAGCTCGTCTTCCCCTCCATAAACCAAGTACATATCTTTAGTCTTTTTTAGGTACTTAAGGATGTTCTTGATAGCTATCTAGTGAGTCTCACCTGGATACGACTGATATATACTACAAGTGCTTAATGCACACGAGACATCAATCCGAGTACACAACATGGTATACATGATGGATCCTATTGCTAATGCATTGGATCCTCTTCATTCTATCTCTCTCATTGTGTATTTTGGGACATATATCCTTAGAAGATAGACATCATGTGACATCGGAAGAAATCCCTTCTTGGATTCTTCTACACTGAATCTCTTCAGTACTTTTTCTATATACATACTCTAACTTAGGCCAAGCAACCTACACAATCTATCATGGTAGATCTTTATTCCGAAGATGTAGGTTACTTCTCCTAATTCCTTCATGGAGAAGCACTTGGATAACCAAATCTTTACCGACTACAAGTTTGGTATATCATTCCTGATGAGAAGTATGTCATCGACATACAGCACCAAGAATGCCACTGCACTCCCAATTACTTTCTTGTAAACACAATGCTCATCTTCATTCTTGATGAAACTAAAGTCTTTTATAGCTTCGTCAAAACAAATGTTCTAGCTCCTTGAAGCTTGCTTGAGTCCATAAATGGACCTTTACAACTTGCATATCTTATCAGCTTGTCCATCAAGAATGAAACCATTGGGTTGTGTCATATACACAGCCTCTTCAAGGTTTCCATTCAAGAAAGTTGTTTTAACATCCATCTACCAAATCTCATAGTCATGAGATGAAACAATTGCAAGCATAATCCAGATAGACTTAACATGGCAACTAGCTAAAAGGTTTCGTCATACTCAATTCCATGAATTTTTTTGAAACCTTTGGCAACTAGTTGTGCCTTATAGGTATGCACATTGCCATCCATGTCATTCTTCTTCTTGAAGACCTATTTACACCCTGTGGGTTTTAACCCTTTAGGTGGATCCACTAGAGACGATACTTGGTTTGGTACATGGAGTCCATCTCAGATTTCATGGCTTCAAGCTATTTAATGAAATCTGGATTCGATATATCATCATTGTAGGTCCTGGGTTACTTGTCTTGCTAGACTAGTACATCGCCATGCTAAGTCACTAATGTAGGTTTATGGATCTATTCTCGCAGTAGAATTTAAAAAATTTAGATCCAAAACCTAACCCATGATCTTTATATTGGTTGTACATTATTTTACACATGAAAATAATTATCAAGATGTAATAGAAACCATACCAGCATTTGGAGGCTCCTTCAAGGGATTTAGATTTGCTTCCACTCCGAGATAGGAGTGGACAAATGGTATCCACACAAAGACAGGACGAATGCCATTGGCTGCTTTTATTGGCTAGTAAAATCACCAACTTTAAGAACAAAAATCTGCATAATTTTTCTTTGGGAGAAAAATTCTTTCTCTCATAAAAGGCTACACGTTTGGGGAGGGAGAGAGAGGGGTGGCTAGGTTTTTTTTAATTGAATGAATTCTCTCATTTTAATTCTAGTTGCACTTAAATAGTGCACAATAAAACCCTATTCCAAATTGGAATAGCCATCTATTCCACTTGGATATTGGAATAGATTACCCTTGCAACCAAACATGACATTTCAATTCAAATCTAAAAATAAAATTTGAATTCACATTATCAATATTAATAATAAATATTAATATTGGATAATATCTTATATATATTTATTTATTTAAACTAAATATTTAAATATATATAATCTCACTAATTTAATTTCCATATGAAATTAAATTTAGGCAACAACCTAAGTAAATTTAATTATACTATGAGATTAGCAAAATGCCTTTTATCATAAAAGACGAAAATGCCCTTTCATCATAAATGACAAAAATACCCTTTCATCATAAATGATGAAAATACCTTTCTTATGAATTTTATTCTTAATCTGTCTTCTATATGTGCAACCCGAAGGCTCTTCATCATATCGGCAGTGAATCATATAATGATTGACAATCAATCAATCATCCCACTAGACATAGACTAAGATTGGTCTCTAGCCATGCATCATGGCCGCCCGATAGATTCAGATTCAGTGAAACTGCTACCTATCAACGATAGGGTTACCGTGCAATCCAATCCTTTGATCATCTATTATCTCATCAAGGTCGAGGCATAGAAGTAGTGTTAACCTCGGATATCCTTGATATCTCGATATTCATTTATTGGACCAACGACCATAATAGATTAGATTGAGCTACAACTCAATCCCACTGTGGCCACAGATTTGATGTCATTGCCATTTACAGAGTTACTCAGTGAGATAATTTCTCTTGTACTTAGGAGTGATGAATCCTTTGTCGATCTACTATAGTCTCGATGCACTTTTCAATGCAACCAACCACTATCATTACGATATTCCTAAATGGAACTATGTTGGGCTAGTGCCAAACTACACCAATCGGTGCACAAGGCACTCTGGTAATCTCAAGTCTAAGGATCACATGCACCACCGTTCATTGGAGGATTTGTTCCACAGACACTGGAGTAACCATCTATGTGGAATCCTCCGGTGGGCTGGTCCGATGAATTTGCCTATAGCAAGCACCCATGTGTTGCACTAGGTTGTCACTAAACAACTTTAACAAGTGAGATCTATCACTGCCTCTCAACAGGGTCGCCCAACACTACGATAGCCTTGTTGTATTATCCTAACCTGGGCTATGGACGTTTCTAGAATGGCCACCATATGTGCTCATAGGATTCTCACTATCAAGACTTCAAACAGTCGATACTCTCGTCACAATTTTACCATCCTAATAACATATATCATTTTCTTATATGAATATAATAAGATCACATGATATAGATAGATGCCTTCATTGATAATAAAACATGATTACAAAGAGTCAATTTACAAAATAGGATTGGCTCTAGGGCACCTACTATAACAATCTCTCACTTGCACTATAGCCAATCATTCATGTATTTAATATCGAATGACCTTAAGTGTTTCTTATGCTTCTGTTGTGACAGAGGCTTCATCAGTGGATCAGCGAGATTGTCATCAGTATGCACTTTACTAATCTTTCTGTGATGAGATGAATGTTAGAGTGAGTGCCTTATAGCCAATCAATTATTGTAAAATTGACTCTGTAATAAATGTTTATTTATCAATAAAAGGCATATTCTTCTATATCGTGTATGTAATGATACATGTCCTTAGGATGCTAGAATCATGACAAGGGTATCTGTTAGTAAACCGTCCTATATATGCAGCGGAAACAAAACAAATATAATATAGAGATAGTTTACATGAGCCAAGATCAAGGGTATAATTTTACAATTCATATTAAATAAAATCTGCAGAAAAATAAATATGAGTTTAAAGAAAACAAACGCACGTTGGAGGCTCCTCCAAATTTGTCGACGAATGTTTTGCTACCGATCCAAGTGTAGGATCGAACCCACATAGTCCACACAAAGACAATCTCAAAAAGAACCAAAGAGGGATTTGCTAGATCCTCTTTGGCTTCAAGATTAAGAAGAAAGCAAATCAATAGAATTGATTTTAGGCCAAAACCCAAATCTGGCGTGGGAGG